ACCCCACACTTGCTGAGCGCAATATACCACCACCTTTCACGCACTGAGCGGAAGCTGCGGCCACTGGAACAGCTCAGGTAGCGGGTTCCCTCCTCTGACACCACCTGGGGACAAGCAAGAAAGCTGATGTGTGTCCTCGATGCCCCCAAGTCCTCAGCCTTCAGCACCTGCCCACTCCCTCAGGCTGGGACCTCACCTGACAGCCGGACCAGGCATACTGTGTGGTGAGGTTGATGACCTGGTTGTTCTCCGGCCGGATCACTGACTCCTTGGTCAGGCAGTCCTGGGGAAGGCAGGGACAGGGTCACTCCTCGGCCAGCCATGACCTTCTCCCCTCTCCCTCTAGGTCCTCTTCACAGCCCTCACCTTGTCCCCTGACTTGTACACAGCTGGCCACTGGGATGGGTCATCAAAATAGAGGAGGATGTTCTGACAGCACTTGGCCTGCAGACCAGAGATGTTGGGGGCTGGGAGCTGGGGCAGTCTGTGCCTTTGGAGGCCAAGGGAGTACCCAGCCTCAGCACAGCGAGTGTTGGGGGAGACTCACCTCAGGGTAGCGGAAACGGAAGTCCAGTCGGCCATAATCCGAGAGGAAACAAAATCTTGTCAGGAACACCCAGTCCTGAAAAGGGGGCCCAGTCCGACCCTCTGCTGAGTCCTTCAAGAACTGTCTACTCCATAGACTCCCAACTTTTCTTCCCTACCCGCTAGGAACCTGGCTTGCCAAGTACTAGAAGGAGACCAGGTCACCTCCAAAATCCTTCCCTGATCCCGTCACTGTGGGTCCAGGATTCCTGCCGTCCTGATTTTCTCCCTCCATTGCTCCCCCCAAGTTTCCTCCCCTCCTCTCAAACACTCCTCCCCACATTTCCCGGGAGCCCCCAGAAAGACCCTGGGGGCCAGATGCCCATCCTGGCAACCTCGTGTCCTGGCCACCATCTGACCCCATTCCCCCAATATCCACACTCCCTCGTACCCCACCCCTTGCTCCCAAAGACCATCCCGCGCAGGGGAATCTTCCAAACGGCCCCCTCCCGGTCCTGAGCGGGAGTGTGGCGGTGAGCTCGTTAAGCTCGGGGCTCTCTGTTGAGTTAAAAGTGCTGTCCCTTCAGCACCACCTCTGCGCCACCCCCTTCCCAAACTCTGACTCTCCCAACCCGCTCTCCCTCCCTGCTCAGCTCTGACCTCGACGTCCCTCCTACAACCCCCAGGTCTGGCCGTGACCCCACGGGTCCCTCAGCCTGGACTCTGGCCCAGTCTCCCATCGCCCTCGGCCCCGTTTCCCCAAAGCTCCGGGGTCAGCCAGGAGGGGCGGCAGGGGGCGGGGTGGTACCCGCTCCCCTCGCCTCCCTCGCGTCCCCCGAGGGCGGGCGGGCGGCAGGGGGGGGCTCGGCGTGCTCACCTCCTTGGAGCTAAGGTTGCCCCGCACGTACTTGGCCCGGGCGCGGGGGGGCAGTGACAACAGCAGGAGCAGCAGCGGCGGTAGCAAGCGGCGCAGCGCGGGCGCGCGCGGGGGCTCCATTCCGCCAGCTCCAGCCCCGGCTCCGCTCCGGCTCCCGCTCCGGCCCAGCGACTGAGGCGAGAGCGCGCGGGCCGGCCAGCGCGCGCCCCCGATTAAAGGGGCCGCCGGGTGCCGCGCTCCCCGCCCCCTCCTCCAGGAGGACCCAACCTGGCTCCCACCTTCTCCGCGTGGGAGGGAGACGCTCATTCTCTGTCACGCCTCCCCAGCCCTCCCCTCCTGGAGTCTCGTAGATACCTATGGTTCCCCATGTCCTAAATTGCACTCATGTCTTCCAAAGCCAAGCCTCCTCCAGACTGCCTTCTCTGGAACCCTAGACCCATGCTCTGTCCTGGCCTCCCGCCACTGTATTAAAAAAACTGTAATTTTTTTTTTTTTTTTTTTTTTTTTTTTTTTTTTTTTTTTGTTGTGTGTCTCGCTCTGTTGCCCAGGCTGGAGTGCAGGCGAGATCTCGGCTTACTGCAAACTCTGCCTCCCAGGTTCAAGAGATTCTCCCGCCTCAGCATCCGAAGGAGCTGGAACTTCAGAACTTCAGGCATGCACCACCACGCCCAGCTAATTTTTGTATTTTTAGTAAAGACAGGTTTTCACCATGTTGGCCAAGATGGTCTCGATCTCTTCACCTCGTGATCTGCGTGCCTGGGCCTCCCAAAGTGCTGGGATTACAGGCGTTAGCCACCACGCCCGGCCAGTTTTTTTTGTTGTTTCTTTTTTTGTTTTTTGAGACAGAGTCTTACTCTGTCACCCTGGCTAGAGTGCAGTGGCGCGATCTCGGCCCACTGCAACCTCTGCCTCTCAGGTTCAAGCGATTATCCTGCCTCAGCCTCCTGAGTAGCTGGATTACAGGTGCCCACCACCACAGCTGGCTAATTTTTTTGTATTTTTAGGATAGATGGGGTTTCACCATGTTGGCCAGGCTGGTCTCCAACTCCTGACCTCAGGTGATCCACCTGCCTCAGCCTCCCAAAGTGCTAGGATTACAGGTGTGAGCCACCGTGCCCAGCCAACTATCTGACTGCTCATCCCCACCTCTATTGCAGCCACCCCCAGCTGTGTCCATCCTGGAGTTGCCAGCGTTCTAGATCTGATGCACCCTGCAAAGTGCTCACAGAGGCACAGAGAGGGCAAGCCACTCGTTCTGAGTTACACCACATGGTGGTGGCGGAGCCCTCACCATGACCGCTGTACCCGTCTTCTGCCCGATCATGATCTGTCACTGCTTACCATGCTGTGAAACTGGGTTGCTGTGAGACACAGAGGTGGTAGTGTGAGATATCCAAAAGAATGTTTCAAATCCAAGTTGAAATTACTTACTTGGGTTCATTCAAATCCCAGCCTGGTTCCTACTTTGTCACTTGTCTACCATAAGACCTGGGCCTAGTCATTCAGCCCTGTGGTCTCCCAGTCCAGTCCCCTCTATGCGGGTATCAACCCTATGGTTTCTCAGTGGACAACAGCAAGCCCTAGAAAGACTTTTCAGAGTAGAGGCCACGCCCTTCACCTTGATTTCCCTGATCAGACTCCAACAAACATTTCTAGCTTCATCCCTCTCCACTGCAGAAAACTGGGGGCTGCTCAAAATACCATTTTAAGAAAAAAATCTGAGCCAAGGGGCCAAGCTGGAAATATAAGTGAAACATTTTTAATGCAGAGCGTGGATCCCACAGAGGGGGCCTGTGCAACTTGGCCAGTGGTTGCCAGGAAGGATTGTAGTTCTGCTGCCAGATTCTTTTTTTCTTTCTTTCTAAGAGAAGCCAGAAATGCAATTAAAAAAAAAAAAAAAGCAAACTGCCTGGTTTATAACAGTAAGCAATTGATTCAAACATTTAAAACATATCGTGGGTGAAATGAAAAAAAGGCTGTGGGCCAGATTCAGCCCTGATCTGCCACTCCTGCCCTTAGCCTGCACATACACTGTTCCCTGTGCTCACAGGCCGGGAGGCGCTCAAGGGCAGGCCCAGATGTGGCTTACTCTAGGTCCCAGCATGGCCTAGGGATTTGCTGAGTGAAAATGGCCCTACATCTGCTATGTGCCCTCCTCCAGGACTTGCACATGCTGTTCCCTTTGGCTGAAATGTTCTTTTCCTCAAGTGGCAAGTTTCCACCAACCTTGAAAAATACAGGGTTGGCAGAACACGGTAGCTCATGCCTGTAATTGCAGCACTTTGGGAGGCCAAGGCGGGAGGATCACTTGAGATCAGGAGTTCGAGGCCAGCCTGGCCAACATGGTGAAACCCCATCTCTACTAAAAATACAAAAATCAGCAGGGTATAGTGGCGCACACCTGTAATCTTAGCTCCTTTGGAGGCTAAGGCAGGAGAATCGTTTGAATCTGGGAGGCGGAAGCTGCAGTGAGCCAAGATTGTGCCATTGTACTCCGAAAAAGGGCGGTCAGATCACAAGGTCAGGAGTTCAAGACTAGCCTGATGAACATGGCGAAACCCTGTCTCTACTAAATATACAAAAATTAGCCGAGTGTGGTGGTGTGCACCTGTAATCCCAGCTACTGAGGAGGCTAAGGCAGAAGAAACGCTAGAATCTTGAATCCAGGAGGTGGAGATTGCAGTGAGCTGAGATCATGCCCACTGCACTCCAGCCTGGGTGACAGAGCAAGACTCTGTCTCAAAAAAGAAAGAAAGAAAGAAGAAAGAAAGAAAGAAAAAGAAAGAAAAAGGAAGGAAGGAAGGAAGGAAGGAAGGAAAGAAAGGAATGAAAGAAAAAGAAAGAAAAGAAAAGAATGGTCAGGCACAGTGGCTCATGCTTGTAATCCCAGCACCACTTTGGGAGGCCGAGGCAGGCGGATTACGAGGTCAGAAATTCAAAACCAGCCTGGCCAATACAGTGAACCCCATCTCTACTAAAAATGCAAAAATTATCTGGGTGTGGTGGTGAGTGCCTGTAATCCCAGCTACTCAGGAGGCTGAGGCAGGAGAATCACTTGAACCTGGGAGGCAGAGGTTGCAGTGAGCCAAGATTGCGTGCGCCACTGTACTCGAGCCTGGGCGACAGAGCTAGATTCTGCCAGAAAAGAAAAAGAAAAAAGGAATGGAAGGGGAGGGGAGGGAGTGAAAGGAAAAGGGAAGGAAGTCTGTGTCAGCTCTTCTATGAAGAATTTCCTCCTCACTAGGGCAGTCATTACTTCCTCCTTGGACTGCCCCAGCCCCTGCACCTCTCTCGCTCTCCTAGGCACAACCATTGGAGCTGAGGTTGTGTATGCCCACCACCAAACTGGGAGCCTCATGAGGACAAGGCCTTGGTCTCACTCACTCTGGGGCCCCAGGATCACCAGAGCTCAAGGTCAGGTACAGGGTTAGCCACAGTGAACCTATGTGTTGGACTAACTGAAGTCCCAAGTTTTCCCCATCACACTGGCTCCTCAGGCCCTATGAAGGTAACAAGTGACAGTATCTTCCCTTCCACCTTGGACCTGGAACTCAGAGCTAAGGAAAGCTGCTCTCCTGGGTCAGCAACTCACTGAAAATCAAGAGGACCACTGAAGTACTTTATTGAGGTCACTGGGAGTACAAGATATCTGTCCCTAGACCTAGCCTCAACCCCTCCTCAATACAGTCTCATGGGTGGAAAAGACCAGGCTTCCGGACTGCTCCGGGCCACTACCCAGGAGAGGCTGGGCAGCGGGGCAGGGGAGCTGGGGCTCCAGTCCAGGACAGAGGTCCGGGGCAACAGGGGTGATGAAGGCTGAGGCACGGGCTGAGGGGTTCCAATCCCCCAGGACCGAGGAGGGGGTGGCGTGGCTACCAGCCAGATGCTTTTTAGCAAGTCAAATGCTGTTGGGGGACCCCAGGCTGCCCCAGATGGTGAAGACAGTGAGGGCAAGGGGGGTGGCCAGGGACCCCTTGATGGTGCCAGGCTCCCCCTATGCACAGTGGGCATGCTGGAGGTGTGGGGCATAGGGAAGGTAAACTCTTTTGTCCCTTGTTGCTTCCTTTGCCTCTCCTCCTCTGGGACTTGATCAGGGCTATTGATCCAGAAGGGTGTCATCCTTCTCTCAGAGCCCCCAGGCTTGGCCCCTGGCACAAAGGAAAGAAGCATAGAGGCCAGGTGAGCTAGAGCAGACAAAGGAAAGGGGAGTGCAGGGGAAAGAGGGAGGCTCACCTTGCAAGGGTGGCTGGCAGCCCCGGAGCACCAGGGCAAGGTCAGGCACACAACCATGGCAGGCCTGCAAGGTGTGCACGATGGCATCCCTGGCATCCTGAACCAGGTTCCTCCGGGGGAAGGCCTGTGGCAAACTCAGCTGGCACTGCAGCTCTGCCAGCAGTTGCCCCATGCCAGGCAACTCTGGAGAACTGGGTGGGCCTGGGCCTGAACCTCCAGGAGCCTGGTTCTCTTTGTCCCTGGACTGTGAGGTTGGCTGCTGGGCCCTCCCTGGGCTTGGGGAGGGCTTGGCAGAGAGTGTGGGGCTGCCTGGTGCCAGGGTTCCACTGCTAAGCAGCCTTCCAACATCTAGGGATTTCACCTCGTGGTTGAAGAGACCCCGGTGCTCCCGGCTTAGCCGGCCCTGGGTTATGACCACCAGCTTGGAGGCAGTAGGGTCCACAGGTGGGTCCTGAATGGCCACAGGAGGATCATGATGGGCTAATGGCCGGCGGCTGCCCAGCAGGGCCTTGTTACGTTCCCGCCTAGTCTTCCGACGGTGCACACGACCAGGTTTCTCAGTCCGCTGGAAAGGCTGGAAGACTGGTCCCCGAGTATCCATGGTAACCTGAAAGATACAGATAGGGTGGCCATCAGCATGCAGATAAGTCAAGGTGAGTAGCAACGTGAATAGGGAGGGCCGGACACAGTTGCTCATGCCTGTAATAACAACACCTGAGTAGGCCAAGGTGGGCGGATCACTTCAGGTCAGGAGTTCAAGACCAGCCTAGCCAACGTGGCAAAACCTGTCTTTACTAAAAATACAAAAATTGGCTTGGCATGGTGGGGCACACCTGTAATCCCAGCTACTCAGGAGGCTGAGGCAGGAGAATCAATTGAATCACTTGAACCTAGGAGGCAGAGGTTGCAGTGAATCAAGACTGCACCACTTCACTCCAGTCTGGGCAACTTAGCGAGACTCCATCTCAAAAAACAAAAACAAGTGAATAGGGAGAAGAGATGGTTTGGGGTGAGGTGGAAACACTATTTAGAGTGATAAGATGAGGGCAGGAATGGTGGCTAACATCTGTAATCCTAGCACTTTGGGAGGCCAATGTGGGAGTATCACTTGAGGCCAGGAGTTCAAGACCAACCTGAGCAGCAAAGCAAGACCCTCGTCTCTACAAAATAAAATTAGCTGGGTGTAGTGGCTCACATCTGTAATCCCAGCACTTTGAGAGGCCAAGGCGAGTGGATCACTTGAGGCCAGGAGTTCGAGAGCAGCCTGGCCAACATGGTGAAACCCGTCTCTACTAAAAATACAAAAATTAGCTGGGTGTGGTGGTGTGCACCTGTAATCCCAGCTACTCGGGAGGCTGAGGCAGGAGAATCGCTTGAACCCAGGAGACGGAGGTTGTAGAGAGCCGAGATCGCGCCACTGCACTCCAACCTGGGCAGCAGAGTGAGACTCTGTTTCAAAAAAAAAAAGAAAAGAAAATTAGCTGGATAGGGTGGCCCACACCTGTAGTCCCAGCTATTAGGGAGGCTAAGGTGAAAGGATTGCTTGAGCCCAGGAGTTGGAGGTTACACTGAGCTATGATTGCACCACTGTGCTCCAGCCTGGGCAACAGTTAGATCTTGTCTCTTAAAAGAGAGAAAGGACAATAAGAGAAAAGAAATGAGCAGAGAGATACTGGGAAAGGTTTGGTCAGATAGGGAATCACAGGGGTGGGATGGAGACAAAGGAGTCACAGTTAATGGGAAGATAAGCCAGGGAATACAGAAAAGCTATTGGGAACAGGGACATGGGAAAATAGTTAAAAGACGGAGGGTGGGGGCCGAGCACAGTGGCTCACGCCTATAATCCCAGCATTTTGGGAGGCCAAGGTGGGTGGATCATTTGAGGTCAAGAGTTTGAGACCAGCCTGCCCAACATAGTGAAACCCTGCCTCTACTAAAAATACAAAAATTAGCCGGGCGTGGTGGTGAATGCCTGTAATCCCACCTACTCAGGAGGCTGAGGCAGGAGAATGACTTGAACCCAGAGGCAGAGGTTTCGTGAGCCGAAATCGCGCCACTGTACTCCAACCCAGTCTAGGGGACAGAATGAGACTCTGTTTTTAAAAAAAGAAAAGATGGAGGGTGGGGAAGGAGTCATGAAACTGGAGGGATTTGGCGGTCCAGAAAGTGATTCTGGACGGAGAAATCCAGGGGTAGAAGAGCTACACGGGAATGCAGAAAGTGGAAAGAGACGGCAGAGAAAGAAAAGCAGGAGAGGGAGAGCAGCAAGAGAAGTCCGGAAAGCCTGAGAAAACCTCGACAGAACAGAAAGGGAGACAGGCCCGATCAGAGACAGGGCCTTGTCACAAAGGAAGTGCCTAGGGTAGTTAAGGAAGCATGGTGGGCGCGGCGGTAGGCAGAGTGAAGGGAGTGGGGTCCGGTTGGTGGAAGCAGGGTAGGGGAAGGGCACCTCTCCTGCCCCAACGAACCTCGGCACTTCCCACTCCACGTAGCCGTGGGGCGCAATGGCTTCTTTTCTGCCGTGACCCCAGCTCTCGAAGCCACCTGGCGCTGTTCCGGGCCTCGGGCACCCCCCACGCATGCGCGTGGCGTTTCCATACCCTTTGGCTTCGCGGCTCTGAGAGGACGGAAGCCCAGAGGCGCGTGCCGGAGAAGTGCCAGTTATAGCCCCGCCCCTCTCAGCCTCGCTCTCGGAAATCTCCCTTTCTTGTTCTTAGCGCCTCCCATCCACCAATTGGCTGTGAGGTTCACTAGGTCTGCCCCCTTACTGAATACTCATTGGTTCAGATAGGCATCGGCGGTCTTTCGAGGGCTCGTTGTGCCCAGGCGTGCCAAGAAGAAGGGTAGCCCCCACGCACAGCTGTCCCTCAGGCAGCCACAGACATAATCCCCAGAAAATTTATATAGTTGGCCGGACGTGGTGGCTCACTCCTGTAATCCCAGCACTTTGGGAGGCAGAGGAGCGAAGCTTGCTTGAGCCCAAGAGTTCAAGACCACCCTGGACAACATAGAAGACGCTGACTACAAAAAATTAATTAGTAGGCCAGGCGCAGTGGCTCACGCATGTAATCCCAGCACTTTGGGAGGCTGAGACAGGCGGATCACGAGGTCAGGAGTTCAAGGCCAGCCTGACCAATATGGTGAAACCCTGTCTCTACTAAAATTAGCCGGGCATGGTGGTGCGCACCTGTAGTCCCAGCTACTCGGGAGGCTGAGCCAGGAGAATCGCTTGAACCCCGGAAAAGAAGATTGCAGTGAGCCAAGATTGCACCATTGCACTCCAGCCTGGGTGACAAAGCATGACTCTGTCTCAGAAAATAAATAAATAAATAAATAAGCTGGGCGAAGTGGTTCGTGCCTGTGGAGCCAGCTACTTGGGAGGCTGTGGCAGGAGGATTGCTTAAGCCTAGGAAGTTGAGGCAGCAGTGAGCCGTGATCACGCCTCTGCACTCCAGCCTGAGGGAGAAAGCAAGATCCTGTCTGAGGAAAAAAAAAAAATGGGAAAAAAAATTAGGCCTGGCAAAATGGCTCAAGACTATAATCCCAGTGACTCAGGAGGGTGAGGCAGGAGAATTGCTTGAACCTGGGAGGTGGATGTCGCAGTGAGCCTAGATTTCACTACTGCACTCTCGCCTGGGCGACAAAGTAAGACTCCATCAAAAAAAAAAAAAATTAGTATACTGTTGTGATTCATATCTAGGCTTGATTTAAATGCCCAAAATGTCACAGTTGGGCTGTGTGACCTTGAAAATATTTGTAACTGGTCAGACTTAGTTTTCTGACCTGTAAAAATGAGATTGGTAATAATACTACCTTCCTCATTTGGTTGCTAGAAGGATAAAATAGAATAATATATCTAACTTGAAATGAGCCTGGTGAATGAAGAATGCCTGGAAGCTTTGTTTCTCACTAAGCTTTGCTTCAGGAACTACTCCAACTTATCTATCTACACTTGTCCCCTCAGACTTCATTTTTAAAATTTCTTTTCTCTCTTATTATACCACTAACGTGAAGGCATAATTATGACTTTTTTCTTTCCCTTTCTTCTTTTCTTTTCTTTTTTTTTTTTTTTTTTTTTTTTTTTTTTTTTTTTTTTTTTTTTTTTTTTGAGACAGAGTCTCAATCTGTCACCCAGTCTGGAGTGCAGTGGCACAATCTCGGCTAACTGCAACCCCCACCTCCCGGGTTTAAGTGATTCTCCTGCCTCAGCCTCCCAGGTAGCTGGGACTACAAGCTCAGACCACCATGCCCGGCTAATTTTTGTATTTTTTAATAGAGACAGGGTTTCACTATGTTGGTCAGGCTGGTCTTGAACTCCTAACCTCAAGTAATCTGCCCGTCTCAGCCTCCCTAAGTGCTGGTATTGCTGGAGTTAGCCACTGCACCTAGACGATTAAGACTTCTTTTTTGGAGACAGAGACTACTCTGTCACCCAACCTGGAGTGCAGTGACACAATCATGGCCCAATGCTGCGTTATCTCCCAGGCTCAAGCAATCCTCCCGCCTCAGCTTCCTGAGAAACTGGGACTACAGGTGCTTGCCTGACTTTTGTTTTGTTTTGTTTTTTGAGACAGGGTCTCACTATGTTACCCAGGCTTGTCTCAAACTCCTAGGCTCAAGCGATCCTCCCACCTCAGGCTCCCCAGTAGCTGGGACTGCAGGCATGCATCCCTGCACCTGGCTCTCTCAGACTTTATTTTTGTGATTAAGACAGAGTCTCGCTGTGTCACCCAGGCTGGCCTGCAGTGGCTTGATCTCAACTCACTGCAACTTCTGCCTACTGGACTCAAGCGATTCTCCTGCCTCAGCCTCCCAAGTAGCTGGGACAACACGCTTGTGCCACCACACCCAGCTATTTTTTTTTTTTTTTTTTTTTTTTTTTTTTTTTTAGTAGAGACAGGGTTTTGCCCTGTTGGCCAGGCTGGTTGACCTCAAGTGATCTGCCTGTGTTGGCCTCCCAGTGTTGGGATTACAGGAATGAGCCACCTCGCCGGCCTTCCTTAGACTTTAAAATCAAGCTATTCCATGATATTCCCCAGGCCCTAATAAGAAAGTGGTTACCTGTGTCTTTTGTTTCTGCTTGTTCAATCTTCATTATCTTTCAGATACTACTCCTAGGAAACCCATAGTCCTTAGAGTCCTTCTCCTCTTCCTCCCCAGAAGTCCCTGTCTCTCCCTCAAACACAACTTTGACACTCCCACACCTCTGTGTGTGGATCTGTCTCCCTGAACACACTGGGACAAGGCCAGGAGCTGACCCACTCATTTACTATTCATTCAGCAAGTGCTTGTGGAACCAGTGTGTGCCCGTCCCAGTCCCAGAAAAGTGGATTGAAACAGAACATACACACAATGAGTAAGACTCATCTCTATGTCTCAGCATCAATCCACCTGGAAGGAATGAATAGTGACAAGGTCCCACCTGGAGTGGGGCTACAAGAACATGACCAGGACGTTTAGCTGAGAGACCCCCGACTTGGTCCCAGAGGGAGATCTGAGAAGACACTGAGGTCTGAGATTAATTTGGGGCGGCGTAGGGGAAGAGGCGTGACCCCAGATGGCCTTGGCTGTGGATCTAGGTTTCAGAGCACAGACACACCCGGTCAGCCTGTGGGTTTAGAGAGGGGAGTAGAGGCTGCAGATCTGCAAGATGATCTGCGGGAAGGGCGCCAGACTGGACCTGAGCCCTGAAGGCGTCTCTAATTTCCTTTCTCCTTCTGCATCTTCTTCTACCCTCCAAGCAGGTCCTATGGTGTCTTGAATGCAAAGATTCGTAGTTTATATTTTATGCCGCACACGCACACACACACACAGTGTTTTGAGTAGGGGTCCTGTGATGTCCTGAATGTGAAGATATGTACTTTAGATTTCAACACATACACACACACACACACACACACACACACACACACGATGTTGTGAGTAGGGGAAGCCCACGAGGAGATAGGCTGAATAAAGACCTAGCGCTGCCTTAGGGTGGCTCCTTAGAGCAGAGCCTCGAATTTTCACATTTTGCCATCTTCCTTTCTGTTCCCCGCACCAGTAGAAAATGGGAGCGTCCCCTCCTAGCTGCATTCGAGCCACCCCTTCAAGGGATCCAAGAATGGACTCGTCCACTCGCTCCCCTCACCCCACCACGTGAATGGGCCACCCGCCCCCCCCCCCGCAACAGTAGGTGGTCCCTTCCGCACGTTTCACTCTCTACAGCAAATGGTATCTTCCCATTTGCTAGAAAGACGGCTAGGTTTTCCCCGCCCACTCTCGACTCTTCAGGTAGCTCGTCCCTCCCCGTGACCGGTGGGTGGTTTCTCCCTTCTCCCCGCTTTGGGAGCCGGATGGTCTCGCCTCTCTCTCCCACCAGCCCGTGCCGGGTGCGCTGCCCGGGAGTCAGCGGCCCGAGCGGGAAACGCCGGACGAGCCCACTGCGCCGCCGTTGTGGGGGAAGCGAGGGTTCCCGATTCCGCCTCCCTCCTAAGTGAAGGTTTCCGTCCCTGGAGTGGAGGCGGCGCCCTGTATCGGCCTTCGTCCTCCGCGGTTGTGCGAGCGTTGGGACTGTCCTTTGTTGCCTCGAAGGGTAGGAGTGGGCGTGGCGGAGCCAGCTCGGTCCGGAACACTCCCGGGTCGACCCCACCCGCTCATCCTGCAGGAGCTGCGGCGCCAAGATGAGCGGAGAGGAGAACCCAGCCAGCAAGCCCACGCCGGTGCAGGACGTGCAGGGCGACGGGCGCTGGATGTCCCTGGTGAGCGTTCCCACTTGGGATATTGAGGAGTCCGGGGCGCGGGGTGGGGGCACTCAAGAGAACGGCTGGTTCCTGATTGGGAAACTGAGGGCAGTTGGGGCGGTGCTGCCTATGGGCAGGGCGGGGCGGGCCCTGGAGCGTGCGAGCCACTGACTCCCTCTCGCGCGCTCCCGCAGCACCATCGCTTCGTCGCTGACAGCAAAGATAAGGAACCCGAAGTCGTCTTCATCGGGGACTCCTTGGTCCAGCTAATGCACCAGTGCGAGGTGAGGCCCATCTCTCTCCCCCTGCCCTATCCGTCCCTGTGCGCATGCTGATACTTCTGGACCAGAACCCAGGCCAGGTGGGGTAGGTATTATGGGGGTACCCAGATTGACCTGAGGTAGCCCGAAGCTCCGAGAGTCTTGGTGAGAAGGAAATGTATGCCTTGGTTTTATCAGATTGGATTTGTGTATAATGTACTAAAACCTAAAATGAGGCTTTCCTGCCATAGTCTTGCCTAAAGTGAGGCGCTTTCTTGTTTGCTTTAAGTAGTGCATAGCCCTCTTGGGATTGCACAAAGCTATAGTCACTTTACAGGAAGTGAAGGTCAATTCTAATGGCGCTCCACAAAGAGGGCTCAATCATAGTAATATCTTTACACTAAACATGTTCAACTGTAATAGCTTTCCTTAAAATAAGTTTCAACTGCAGTGCCATTGGTTCGATGCATGACTCAAGCCGACTGGATTTTCATAAAGTGAGTCTTGCTTCTATGGGGCTTGTTTTTTGTTTGTTGGTTTGTTTTTGAGACAGGGTCTTCTTGCTTTGTTACCTATTTATTTATTTTTTGAGACAGAGTTTCACTCTTGTCGCCCAGGCTGGCA